CGCCGAATTTATCTCTGGGTCATCACGGCTGCGGATCGCTGTGTGTAGCCGCAGAATATGAAGTCATCCACTGGAAAACTGCTGAGGAAATATGAGTGATCGCCATCACCACCCCGTCGTCCCACTTCACACAATAGCTACAAAAAAGTGCTGCTTCGTGGCTGCCGCTGCATCTGCACTAGGAGAGACGGCGTAGGAGAATTGATAGCCGATAGCACAGCGTAGATAACAAAGTAAACGCAGATGTCTCGAAACCTCGCATGAAGTCTCGCATGGGGCCATCCGAAAGCGTGAGACGTTGCTGACATCGCCAACCGATCGCTGCTTCACGCTCAAACACACAGCGTCCGGCCAGGTGCACTTTGGGCAGAAGAGCTAAAGCCAAGCAACTTCCGTCCTGTACCGATTGCTGGAGTTCTGCAATCTCTTGCTTCTGCAGCCTGAGGACAGACCCGAGCTTGGATGAGGGGTGTCGATCGCATCCATCATTGCACACACACACAGACACAGCCGCCAGAGCTTGTAGTCTATCGTTTATTCGAGACAGCTCAGATCGCCGCGCAATGGTGGATTGAAGTCTGCTGACCTGTTGAATCGCCGCACGTGGGTTGAGCGATGAAGTCTCGACGCAAAGGTGCTGTTGCCTCCGAATCTTGGCCTGTTGTCTCGTCAGCAGGTGCCCACGCCTGCTGTCAAGTCTCTTCGCACCCAGGGACCCAGCATCACCAGGAGCACACACATATGCTCGGAATTGAGGGGGCCTCTGCCATGTCCAAGGCCTTGCGCAACCTCTGCGCGACCGCTCGCTCCCAAAGCAAGGCCTTGCGAGCGGCCTGGTTGGAATTTCCAGATTGATCCAATGCTCTCAGCATTTGCTGGCCACTGGCCTTCAGGTTCTTCAAGAGTGCTTCTGGGCATAAGGTGTCGTCCTCTTCCTCCGTGGGCCACGCTCTGCTAGCTAGCAGAGCCCCTCACTCCACTGCCTCCAGGCCTTGCCGGCATCCGGCTGAACGATGCTCGGACCGCTAGGCTCCCCCTCGGGCGAGGCAGCCGCGGACTCCTCGGACTCCTGAGCTCTGACTGGGCCCTGCATACTCCTTCGCTGAGTTCAAGGTGGGAGTCGACCGAGTGATCGGCTGGTGCGGCCTCAGCCTCCGCACGTCGCACTTCACGTGCAGATTCATCGTCACGTCGTGGACATGTGCAAACTGATGAGATGTACTGCGTGCCTGCGCAGGATCCATGGCATTGGCCCAACCATGTGGCAGCCTCACGACGCAGCTAGCCGAGTTGTGGGCAAGTCTTGGTTGAGACGCTCGGCTCCGAGCTGACTCGCATCGTTCAGGCCGGTTTCCTGAGGCTTTCGGAGCCGATCAAGTGTGCCGCGGCAGAAGCGACTGCGTAAGCTTCGCACTGTCTGAGCTTCTAGAATTCCGCTCTCCGGCTGGGCACCTGCTGGTCTTTAGCATAGTTTCGCTTGCTGGACGCCCCGAATCCGCCGTCTCTCACGGTTGCTATTTACTGTAGGTCTCCTCCGGGCCACATCTCTGATTTGGAGGCTCAGCGGTACCCCGTTCGGCCATTTCGCGACATGCCTCAGATTCTTAGTTCGCACTGCTCCTAAACATGCTTTCACCCGCAATGCGAGGTTTTGGCATAGGCGGCATACTGGTATCCTATGTACCAATACTGTCACCTGGCTGGTGCGGATGCCTTGCGCTGGCCTACAGATCCAAATCGCTCTAAGCACACTGATGCGAAATCATGTCTATCCAGATTCACAGTGAGGCGATGTGAAGTGTGAGCTATGACGCAATGGCGCTCCCGCGGCCATGGGCCATGAGAAAACTCGTGTTGCAAGTTCCATCATGGGAGGCGGAAGTCCCCCGTTACAGCCCGAAGGGTCTCAGGGCCCGCCTGGCGGTGAAGATCCCGAAGGCTTTGTCCAAGGAACCGACACCTCGAGAGGTTGCAAGAGGCCGGAGGTGCTTTTGTGGTGTTCAGCCAGGCAGGCAAAAATACTTCTTGACCGTTGCTTCAGCAGCGGAACACTCTTCACTTCAAACCTTTATGCACATTGCACCGACCGGGCGCCGAGCAGCTGGTTGTGTCGGCAAATGGTCGGCCTGCCACGCATCTCAGCACAATGAGTTTTGGGTGAAAGCCTCTTGCAAAGCTTTCCAAGAGGCATCGAAAAAAGGAGCAGAAGCCATCTGCATGAGGTCTCTCTCTCGCCACCGCCCCAGCGCTCGTTGCAGTGCACATCACCCCATTCTCCCCACTCCCTCCCCTTTCTCGTGGGATCCCATGGGGCACCCAGGCAGCGGGCAAGGATGGCATCCCCATGGAGCCGCGACCTCGGCGGGCAGTTCGACATGAGAGAAGGCCCAAAAGCATCAAAAGCCCTCCATTCGGCTCCAGGGGCTGCTAGTTGTCGTCTTGCTCTGAAAGACGCCGCCTGCGGCAGGCCGGGCCGTGCTCTGCAGTTGGCCCTGCATGCCCTGCTGAGACAGGAGCCGTAGCCGCCCCAGGCCGGCTGCGGCGGACCTGGGAACCAAATGCAACCGAAAGCATCGCGCGGCCTGCCGCATGCTGTCGGCCTTCGCGCCCGCTTCCGCTTGTGCTCGGAGCTGCTGTGGGCTGGGAGGGCTGGGAGGGCTGTAAGCGCTCCGCGCCCGGGCCTCAGCAAGAAGCAGCTCTTGAGCACCACAGGCAGTCCGCCCAGGAGTTCGGGATCCCGACCCGGCTCCGAAGAGGTCTCGGGCTGGCCATGGGCGCCTGTCAAAGGAGGCGCGCCCACCGGCGGCAGCCCAGCCTGCGTACATCAGAGCAGAGATCCTTTGGCTCACATCCGCCGGCTGGGCCTGGTAGGAGGGCGGGGGCCACATCTCTTTGTTCCCGCTCTTCACCTGCACCGGCGGCATCGCCGGCATGGCTCCTAGGCATGGTTCGGATTTTTGAGACCAAGTCAGAGCCGAAGAATCCCATGGCCCTGGGGTCCTCTCGGTGGGGGCGGCAGTGGACTTGGATCTGCCAGGAAGCGTTCCAAGGAAAGCCTGCGAGAGAGGAGCTGACCTCCTGCTCCCTCGGCATCCCTCGGCTCTCGGCTCTCTCTGAGGCCAGCACTTGGGTCCCTGCCCGCTGCCCTGCGCATTCCATGTCGTCTGTTGGGACCTGTCAGCCCGTTCTTTCTTTCTTCAGCCCCGAAGGCATTCTCTGTCTATGCCTTGCCCGATCAGGCCTCCAGAACATGGCGACACCAGGTCTTGCAGGGCGGAAAGAGCTGGGCGCTGGGGACAGAGCTGAAGCTAAGGGTTTGGTGCGGTTGAAGAGCTGTTCGACTGCCGGCTCTGCTCTCGGAGCCAATTGCATTCTTCGGTCGTGCCAGTAGGTTTGAGCCTGATGCCTGAGAGTGAGCAGCTTGAGTGCAACAGTCGCATCTCCAGTTCTTCAGGTAGCTGACACTTCTCAAGCGGACCTCTGCAGGGTCGAAGATGCGGACATTCCCATGAGGCGGCCGCAGCAAGCTTTAGTGTGCTCCAAGTGACCCTCGGGCGTGCCTACTTCTCAGTCTTCTCAGCATGTGCATGTCCGGGGTGCTCCACATATCACTGCTTCCCCGGGACTCTCAAGAGTATTCGCATGTGTTCGCCTGTGCGATTCGGAAGAGCTTGGTGCCAGCGGCAAACGCAGAAGAGCCTTCCCTTCGGCCTAATTCGGGCTCTGCAGACAAGTAAACAGTGCAGGGACTGTTGAGATGCAAGCGCTCTAGGGTACACCCGTTGCAGAATGTGAAGTGTTCTCTGCGAGCATGAACGGATGGACCCACGAACCCAGCGCCCTGGTAGGCACCATGGTCGCGCAAAGCTCGTCCAGCGGGGTCGCGATGTCCTCCGGCTCCGTTCCCTGAACGTCAGCTTTTGCAAAGCCGTGATTGGTGCCAGATACGAGTTACGAGCCTGGAAAACTTCACGAAACTTCGCGAGGGGAATCGATCGCGTCTCCTCCACATTGGAAGCTTCCGGCTCGGACTCCGACCTGACGCATCGCCCGGCGTCGCCTTGCTGATCACAATGTTGTAGTTTCGAAGCTTTCGGTCCTCATTGAAGGCGGCCATAATCGGCCATACGAGCACGTTTCTAACATGAGCCAAGGCTCGAAAGAGCACGTGCAAGCACGGAGCTGGCCATCCACCTGCGCTGAGGGGCGCAGAAACTTCGTTTTCTTTGGGTCTCGCGGTCGCGGGGCACAAAAGCAGAGCATCGGAGCCCTCATTTGCTGACGGGCTTGTCGGTGTGCGCGCGCGTTTTGCCTTGTCCGCCAACCCACGGCCAACCCCCCACCGGGCCTCCAGGCATCGTCCCCCTGTGAATTGTCAGCCTGTCCCTCGGGCTCCTCTTGCTCGCAAGACACGTCCTCTTCCCGGGTGATCCACAGAGAGCGGTGCTCATTGTGCGAGCCGGATCCTCACTTAATCCATGACGTCAGAAAAAAGCTCGTCGTAGTATCTTCGCGCTGACTTTACTCGGCTTGACTGTTTCTGGCCCATGCAAGAGCCCCATGACACGAAGAGGTTTCTGGTGCGTCCAGGGACTGCAAAGGCAAAAAGCTTGTCACGCTTGTCCGTCAGCATCCGTCGCACCTGTAATGAAGGTACACCAAGTACGATTAACAGTACGGAACAGGGATTCAACAACATCAAGACCAAGCACAGGCTGATCCATCCAGACTTCTTTTCTGAAGCCGCACTCCACATGTCTGGACCACGTCTGCGAGGAAATCCTGCATCAATCAGACTGTCACCGTACTTGGGAAAACTATGGTCATTTGGCGTGGCACTTCGAGATGCAGCTTATGCGGGCGTGCTGATTACCAGCCCTTTTCACAACCCTTGGTCTCAGTACGATGCTCGTCTGGCTAGAGCCTGCAGAACCTTGCTTTCCTACTGATAGTCGTCTCAATTCAACTTCAATGATGCCACTGCGTCCTCCAATGCCTTTTTGTACTCTGGGGCTGCCATGACCTGACGTTTCATACATGACAGCAGTACACCACAGCTTGCAAAGTGGGCCCTCTGGTGTGTGGCAACGCACGTCATTCGTGTAATTGGTCTGCAGAACATGCACTACCTAAACCTGGCCGTCCATCACGTCTGCTACCCTTTGTGTAGCCGTGATGTAAGGTGCTACAACAACTGTCTGCAAGGCCCATTCAACTTCTGACCATCGGTAAGGCCCAGCAAGGGCCTCATTGTGACCAAGGCCCTCGAGCAGGACCAGACGTTTGGTCGGCGAAGCCGCTGCCTGCAGATCTTAGCGACGCAGTCACCGAACAGCACACAGGACACTCCGGCCGTCCTCGAAGCACTGCTTCGCCTGAGCGACGGGGCACACCACGTCGGCCTGAGCTGTGCTGAACAATCACTGCACCATCAGGTCACGGAGAGGCCCACGCGGTTCCGTTGATGTAGAGGAGCGGCATGTCCAGGCAACCCAGCAAGTCCTTGGCATAAGGGTGCCTACAGCTCCGCTCTTCTCAAACCTCAATCGGTGCAATGCTGTAAGTACTGCCTGATGTTGCAAGTCATGTGCCACGACCTGACGTGACATGCTCTGCTACTTCGCCTCCGGCGAGGGACCCTCGGAGCTGAAAATGTCAGGGCCGTGCTGCACGAGAAGTCTCCAAAGGCATGCAAAGCCTTGTGCAACTCACCGTTCGTCCCGTTTCGTATTCTCCTAAAGATGACGTGGAGGTATCCGTTGTGGTCCGGATCGCATCGAGGCTCCGGGTTTCCACGCCACTATTCCTGCCATTGTGAGTCCAGAAACTCCTGTGTTGGGAACCACGACCACTTCCGGAGGAGCTACCCGAGATGCACCAGAGTTGTTCACGGGGTCTTTTCCACAAGCCGACAGGGCAGGCATTGTCGCTGCAGGGTTTATGGGTCGGCTACACACCGTCAGGCCATTGGCCCGCCCACCCACAAACTTTGCTAGTAAGTGGATGGCAATGGGGTCCCCGGTGACTGTGGCGTCAGAGACTTCTCTGGCTTGCTTGCTTGCTGGCTGGCGGCCCTAGAGGAGCCTACCCGTAGGCAAACGCCCCCACGCGGCATGCGCGCAGCCGTGTTCTTGGTTTCTGGAGGGCGTCAGGTCCTTGCTGCCCCCTCGGGTCCGCGTGAAACTGGCTTGGGTTCTCCTTGCTGCGCAGACAGAAGTAAGTTCCTGTAACAGGTAAGCTATACACCAAGCCCAAAACTCTGCATCAGAGGAGTTCCCTGTCATTGTTCAGAGACTTCTCTCTCGCTCTCGTCTTGCCTGGTTCATCGCACGGATGGGAAACAACGTTTGTAGACTGACACCAGCTTTGCCCCCCATACTGGGGTCCTTGAACCCCTTCCCAGTCCCTGCGCTTCAGCCCCACCTGGGGCAACTCGCTGGTATCGGCCCCCACTCGGTTTGCGGCGCTCACTGTCTGTCTCTTCTCTCTCCCTCTCCCCTCTTGCTCTGTCGGGCGGAGGGAGTGTCCGGGAATGCCCAGCCATGTGCAACTGGGCTCTGCGAGAAAGTGTGACAACGACTGCTGGCAAGAAAGGCGGACTGCGCTATACTATTATGCGCCGGAACATCTTTTCACGAGTCGTCCTCGCCCGCAGGCAAATGGCACTGGACCAGACAACAGCGGGTTGTTTTAGACAAGTTACAACCTAGACCAGAAGGGCGCACGCGGGCACGCGCACTCTTCCTTTCGCAAGAGCTGGGGTGGGGCTCTCTATCTCTCCTCCCCCTGCTTGCTTGCTTGCTGCAAAGCGTTTGGAGGGCAGGGCGCGAAGCCCCTTCCTCCTGTGCACCGCGCCGCGCCCAAGGTCGCGTCCGCGGTCGGCGTGAATCATGATTTGGAGTCCCCCGTTCGGAATGTTTTCGAGCCTCCGGAATGTCAAGCTTACCCAACTCTATTCTATTTATTCTATTCTCCGGGGCATAAGGTGCGAGTTAGGCACCCCGCGCCGTGAGGCGCACCCCTGTTTCGGGGCTTTGTAGGGGTATAAGAAAGTACGCTCTCTCTCTCTCTCTCTCTCTATGTCCTGCAGCTTCCTTTTTCCGAATTCGGTGCAGGTTCAAGGGCAGAGATTCGTCTCTCCCCTCGCGCGAGTGCCCAATTCTGGTTCCATGTGCAATTGGCGAAAGAGTGCTCTTGTTTGGTCCAGCCGTTTCTCTCCCTCGCTCTCTCTCTCTTTGCTTTGCTTTGCTCGGGGTTTGGGGTGAGGGCAGGCCCCCCGCCCCGCGCGTCAAGCGCTACCCCATCCATCATTTTCGACGGATGGGCTCGGCTGTGCATGATACTGCGTGCCCCTAGACTCGAGGGTACTCCTGAAAAACAAGGAAACAGCACACAACTAAGGCCCGGGCCGAGTTACGTTGTAACAACTGAGGAGTACCGGTCTTCTGCGGGCGGGTGCCCCTGGTGACTTCGGGAGGTACACTGAAAGGCAACACGCACTGTAAGACCTTAGCATACACCGGTCCCTTAGTCACCAGCGAGTGCTCCCAGAAGCCTACGTCTGCGGTGGCTTTCCTGGCTCTCAGAGGTCTGCGGGCTGGTGCCCCTCAGTTGTTCTTCTTCTCGAGGTGGTGTCCCCAGCTCGGCTTGCCATGGGACTGTGTCTGCGTTCTCGTCCCAGGTGGCTTCCGGCTCCGTAGGTGTGAGCTCCGGGTGCCTCGCGTCGTCGCTGCGTTGTTGGTCTCCTTGGGCAGGTTCTCCTTCTCCTTCTCGGTGTGCCCCTTCGTCTGGCTTCTCCGGTGGGGCGGGTGCCCCTCGTTCGTGTTGTACTGGTAGGCGACGTCCTCTGGGTCCTCGTAGTGCTCGTGGTTCTCTGCCGTGACGGGTGGTTCTGTCGCAGTAGGTGTTGCAAGCTTGGCGAGGGTTGCTGCAGTAACTCCAGCGGCCAGGGTAGTACTGGTTGTGAAGTCAGGGTAGAGGGAGCCGGCGGTTCAGGTCGTTCAGGTCGTTGTGGTAGTGCAGGAGGTGCTGGTAGGTCACGTGGGTCAGGTAGTCCCGGAGGTCGGCGGTCCGTGTGCAGTTCTCCCTGTGGTAGTCCTGGAGGTAGTCCTTGAGGTAGTTCGGGGGGCTGGCGGCCTGCGTCTGGTTCTCCTTGAGGTAGTCCCGGGCGGCAGTGGTGGTCTGCGTCTAGTTCCCCTTGAGGTGCTGGAGGTGGTGGTACTTCCGGCTGTAGTTGTCTCCTCGGTAGGTCCCGAACTCGGCAAGCTGGTTCCCCTTCTCTGTTGTGTGTCGGGTTCTCCGCTAGCTGTTCAGGAAGAAGTTGCGGCGGTCTCGGTTGTTCGGCTGGTTGAGGTCGCACAGGTGCTGGTTCAGGTGGAGGTGGTAGTACAGCGGGTCGTACAGCAGGTTGTACAGGTTCAGGCTCAGGTTCAGGTCGGTGTGGTAGTCCAGGTTGTCCAGGTAGTCCAGCAGGTTGTGGTTGTGCTGGTCGGTGTGGTAGTCCAGGTCGTGCGGGTAGCTCCGGTTGGTCTGGTACGTCACGTGGTGGTCCTTCGTCCTGGCTGTGTGCCCCGACGGTGTCTGTCTCGTCTCCTGTGTCCTCGTCGTCGACTAGCTCCACCGGCGTTCCCCAAAACTGCGTCGACCACTGGGTGAGTTCCCCTATCGCCTGCTGTGCCCACTCGTGTAGTTGTCCGTGGAGGAAGGGTGCCAGGCGACGAAGCTTCGCCAGGGCCTTCAACGGCCTCTCCGGTTGCTGGTCAGCAGCAGCAGGGTTGTGGTCCGGCTGTGTGCTGGGTCCCCCTCCATGGGCGATGACATCTGCTTCGTGTCGGCGCCTCTTGCTTTGTGGTGAGCAGTACTCTGCTGCTCTTCGCAGGTTCTCCTCATCCTCGTTGTGTGCCCCCCATGCCTCCTCGTGTGCCGCCGAGGCTGCTTCGCAGAGTTGGGTCACCACGGAGAGGTCTTCGACGAGGCTTTCTGGGAGGTGTTGTGCCCCCTGCAGGCTTTGGAGGCACTCTTCCATTGCCGCCTCAGCCTGGTCCGCGAACTCTTCTCTGCGGTGTACTGCTCCCCAGTTACGTGCTTTGGTGCGGCTGTGGAACTGTCTGGTGCCCTCTTTGAGGAGTTTGGTGACCTCGTCTAGGTCTCTGCGGGCCTCTTGCACGCTGTTGGGTGCCCCTGTGGCTTGGACTGCTTTGGCCAGGTCCACGAACAGGTTGAGGAGGTGCGCTGCAGTGCTGTGTGCTTTGGGCAGTGGCGGGCTCCCGCCAGCGGGGGGGCGGCTGCTGGAGCTGGGCTGCTGAGTGCTCTCCTCGAGCTGTAGGGCGACGAGGGCTTGTTGTGCGTAGGCTTGGGCCTCTCCCGGCGGGGCTAGGTCAAGTACTTTTAAGAGGCAGCGTCTTGCCTCCGCCATAGCACGGCAGGCCTCCGCAGGGGTTGGTGTCCGGTAGTGTGGTGTGCTCCTTTGCATGAGCTCCACCTGGTCTGTGGGGTCTTCGCTGGGCCACGACCGCTCACTGCTGTCTGTTGGGTCTGTCTGCGCTTGCTGCCTCTGCTGTGTGTTGGGTGGCAGTGGGGGGGTCGGTGGAGGGCTGACTTCAGTGTGTTGTGGCGTTGAGGGGTACGGCGACGGCGAGCCTGCCGGGACTGCTGGTTGTGTGTCCGGTGCTGGGATTGGCGTCCTGCTTGTGTTGGGCTGCGTGTCAGTTGCTGGGTCGGCTGCCTGGGCGGCCTGGTATTGTGGCAGCTCGATGGAGTATCCTCCGAATCTGGCCAGGTGGTTGTTGCTCCAGAATTGCCACTGCCAGTCCTGTCGGGACCACAGCAGCAGGTAGTGGTCTCCTGCCTTGTGTCTCAGGGCCCCTTGGCTGGCTGCTGCTGGTGCTTCGGCGATTCTTACGTGCCAGGCCATTGGTTCTCTGCGGTAGAGTCTGCCGAGGGGGCGAAGGTACATGGCGGTGCCCATGCCAACGTACTGGTGGGTCGCAGGCTCAGGCTGGGTTGTGACCATCTGGGGGCCTATATGCTCCGAGCGTGGTACTGGGTGCCCTTCCACATGTCTCGCTGAGCCTATGAGCCAGATGCCGGCTGGATGTTGGAGGGCGATGTTGGCAAGGGCGGGTCCCACAGGCAGGGCCGGCGGCAGGGTGGGGGGCATAGAGTTGTATCCCGCCGGCAGGTGCAGGTGAAAAGTCTGGGTGTGGGAGTGCCACTGGATGTCCCGTCCTTGCTGTTGCTGCCCTCCCGACTGGTTAGTGGGGTAGTCGGTGGTGTTGTGTCTCGCGGGGAGTGGGTCCTGAGCAGCGTTTGCGGGTGCCTGTTGTGGGTCTGCCTTGTGCTCTTGGTGCAGCTGCTGTGGGTCGGTAGTTCCAGGTGGTTGCGACTGTGGTGGCCGGTCTGTTGCATCCGGAAGGATGGTTGCCTCCTGGGTGTCTGCCTGTTGGTGGTGTTGCCGCTGTGTCGTGTCGGTTGGTCTGGGTGGTTGAAGTTGCTGCGATTGG